GGTCGCGGCGGCGGCGGCGGCGGCCGCGGTTATCCCGAAGAGCTGCCGTTCGACGAGCACCACCCGGAGGACCCGTACTGGGGGGAGGAGCTTCTGCCGCAGTACGCGCCGCTCCCGTCGTCACGCCGAGAGGCCGCCGCCGGCAGGAGAGGCGAGGAGTGGGAGGGTGAGGGGAGGGGAAGACCCTTGCCGCCCGCCGAGCTCCTCCCGGAGTGGGAGGATTCTGACCCCCGCTTCCACGACCCTGAGGCACGGGGGGGTAGGGGTAGGGGTGGTCGAGGCCGGGGTGGTGGTGGCCGAGGTGGAAGGGGCGGCGGCCGGGGGGGGCGCGGCCATGCACCCTTCGGGCCTCCGGGAGAGGATCTCGCCCTGCCCCCCGGGGAACGAGGTTGGGGACCGGACGAAGGAGGCGGCGCCGAAGATGACGACGAGTGGGGTGGCAACGGTAGGGGGGGCGCACCACCGCCCGCGGACGGCGGGAGCGGGTTCCAAGAGTGGTCTGCCTTCGACGAGTCCCCGCCACGCGCCGCGCCTCCGAGGCGGGCTCCGATGGGTGCGCCGGCGGGCGGCGGTAGGGGGCACCCGGCAGGCGGGGGGCCGGGCCCGAGGGGTGGCGGTCGGGGGCCCGGAAGGATGGGTCCCCCGCAGGGAGAGCACCCGGAGAGGGGCATGCCTCCGCACGGAGAGTACTACGACGGTGCCGAGAGGCCGTTGAGGATGCGCAGGCGTGAGGTTAGTGGGTGTGTCGTCGTTGTTGGAAATGCTTGTAGGATACAATGTCGCGGGAGTTGCGTGAAAGATGAGATTTGTGCCGGCACGTGGGCTGAGCGTTGTTGCATTGTCGATGGTGCTCGCCGAGGCTGCTTGCTTGCTTTTGTTTAATCTTCTTTACCCGCGACAGCTACATCGGTGTGATCAACCTTCGACCTTGCTTGTTGGGCGATGCCTTGCTGTTGCCTGTTGCAGGCAAGACCGCCGCCGCAGGATGAGTACTACGACGACCAGTACGAAGATGCGGGCTACTACCCGCCGCGGGGCCCACGGCAGCCGGTATGACGCGTTTCCTTGTCTTTGTCGAAAGCGAATGTACAGCAGTCTTGCGGGTGGTGGGTGGGCGTTGGTGCTGTCATTCCGAAGGAAGGTTTCGCAAAAGTTTTGATCATCTTTGGCTCGGTCAAGGCAGGGTAGCAAGTGACGGGGGAGCGGGAGGGGGAGGGGCAGGCGCGAATAGCCAGAGAAGAGAGGGTGAGACAGGGACGATAACACCTCAAATCGGGAGGGAAAACCACGGCTCTGACACGGAGAACTTGGGGTTGTGCATTCAGATCATCGGCGGGATGCTCTGGCATACCCCGTATGACAGACCCTTGGCGAAACGACACGGTGTCCCCCGCCCCCTCCTTTGCCTGCATGTTTTTGACGGATTACTCTTCGCAGGAGGAGCTTATGCCGCAAGCCCGTCGTGCGAGCGACCCGTACTATGAACAGCGCTCCCCGCCGCGTCGGGGACCACCTCCTGGGCACCAGCAGCAGCATCCGGTGGGCACGAAATCCACAAGTTTTTTGGTAGCTGCACCCCGATAAATGGAAATAGCCGCTGCTTGTTGTTGTTGTTGGGGTTGGAGGCTCTCGAGGGGCGTCCCTTCTCCATGTTTTTATCGTGCTGTCCTTATAAGTCGCACTTCAACTTTTCCCTTCTTCTCAGCCCTCCTCCGCATCGTTGTTTTGATATGATTGTTGACCTTACCGCGCTCCCGGATTAACCGGGTCTTGTGTCAACTCAAGGCCCACTTTCATTTTATTCGTCTACGGCATCGTGCAGGCCATCATTACAGCAGCGCAGTATCGTGTGTCCCCTGAGGGTGTACAACACCGGAGCTCGGATGGGTTGGTTGTTTTTGGAGTGGGAAGACTTGTACAACGCTACAGTACTTTGTTTTTTCAGCCGTAGGTCTGCCTAAGACCCCCACTCCTGCCCATGCCGCTATTTATCGCATGCTGTCTTTGCTCAGGAGAGAATGCCGGACAAGCGTCGGTACGAGGACGCCTTCGAGGACGAGCCCATGCGGGGTCCCCCGCTACGGGTACGTATGTCATGCTTGACGGAATCTACATGAATTATTCCCTGAACGTTCCGAGAACCGCGAGAAGTATCTCATGTCGCGCCCGGTCCCTGTGTCGGCGTTTTTGCTAGAGGGAGACAGGGGTTAGCGACCGGGCCGTGCCGCTGTTTCTCTCCTCTATAGCCTCTGAGAGCAGCCGGCCGTATTGCGCTGGTCGGTTGCTCTGTGTCCTCTTTGGTATTTGGTTCGAGCTTCCTTTGCACGCTGTACCTCTTCGTTTGCGGGTCTCGCCTGGAGCCTTTTTGTTTGCGCAACTGCTGTCGTCGGAAAACGCGTGAGTGTTGCGTACAACTCGATTTTTTTCTTTCCTCCATCGTTTTTTATTTTGTTGTCGCGTGTTCTCGTTTCTTTCATACCGCAACGAATCAATTTATTTTTTTTGTTCCTTTCGTACACGTCTGGTTGAGTGGCTATGGTCGCCTACGACCCCTTTGACAAAATCACCGCCTGCCATCCTTGCACATGCTCAATTGGGTATGTTGGGATGTTTCGTTTCGGCGATTGCAGAACCGACCCGACCCCCGAGAGTTTACGGGACCCGGAGACGACCCTCGTCACGGCAGCGGTTTGGACCCCCAACAGGTGCTTTTTTCGTTTCTTTTCTGTCTTGACCTGGCGTTGCGGTTGCAGCTTGGGCGCGTCTCTCGTTTGGGCACTCTGGGTGTGTGTCCTTTGCATACTTGTGGTACGTGGTGCTGTGTGTGCATTTCTTGTCCCATGTTTTCCCGTTGGAATACGAACGAGCGTTGACGTTTTTCGAATAATGTCGCTCGTTTCAAGGTGTAGATGCTACATAGGAGGAGTGCCGCTTGAGTAGGCGTAATCGCTTCGAGCGGAGAGTTTAGTGAACATATCAGTGCATATTGTTCCATGCGACAGAAGAATATAGATGCTGTATGGAGGAAGTCAGGGCGCATCCAACTCCAACTACAGGATAGAAAATGTTGTACTTTTCATAATGTTGCACTCAGTATTCTTATTTGTTAGTTTCATTGCAAGTAGGGAAGACATCTACCGGATCACCGGTTTCGGCCCTTTGATTTCACTGGCGTCCCCATATCAATGTCCTCCTCGCCTTGTAGTTTACTCCCAAGAAACGTGTACTCCTGTTGCGCCACCCGTTGGTCTCAAATCAGTACGACTTCCGTCAGGAGGATCGGTATGCTCAAGGCCCCCCTCGAGGCAGCGGCGGTCGCGGCCCCCCTCCGCCCAACAACGGCCAGGCCGAACACTACCCGGGCGGGCCTCCGCAGCGCCCGCGGATGATGAGAGACGGTCGCCCACCCCAAGAGGGCGGACCACCCCACGGTGTACGCCCGGGTGGCGGCGACTACCTACCGATGCAGGATGGCCCCCCTCCTTCGCGAGGAGACCCCGGTTACTACGACGGCGGCGGGCCGTCGCGGGGCGGTGGCGGTGGCGGCCGCGGCGAGCTCCACCTCGGAGTCCCCCCCGGCGACCTCAGGCGTGATCCTGACTTGAGGCTTCCGGCCGCCGGAAGGGTGCCGATGCCCGGACCTGGCGGCCGTGGGCCCGGCGCCCACCTGGGCGGCCGTGGACCGGGAGGCCCGAGGCCCGACGGCGACAACAACCGGGGTGGGCCACCTGGGCACGGGTACGACCGCGGCGGGGACCAGCACGGCCACGGCCCGCCGCCGGCGTCTGAGCTCGGAGGGCGCGGAGGAGGAGGAGGGCGCGGAAGGGGGGGATACCCCATGCAGCACGGGCGCGGCAGCGGTGGCCCGCCACCCTCAGAGCACGGCCCTGGCCAATTCGGCAGGGGCCCGCCCCGCAGGGAGCACTCGGGCTCTTTCGATGACGGGATGATGGGTGTCGGCGGTAGGGGCGCCGGAGGTAGGGGGCGCGGCCGTGGAGGGCCGGTTGATGGCCGCGGTGCCGGGCGCGGGCGCGGGCCTGGTGTCGATGGCCGCGGCCCTGGACTCAACGGTCGCGGCCCTGGACTCGATGGCCGCGGTCGCGGCGGCGGTCGCGGAGAAGTGGGTGGGAGGGGAGGAGAGGGAGCGGGTAGAGGCCAAGGGCACCAATCGCCTGCTGCTAGTAAGCCGGCGGGGGAAGTTACAGCAGGTGTAAGCAGTCGCGGCACGGACCCTGCTGCTGCCGCGTTGGACCTTGAAACAATGGACATCCCTCTTCTCAGCGACACGGAGGTGAGGACACGGATAAGCTTGAACGGCTGTGGCGCACTTTGCTGTTCTATTTCTGCATCCCAAATGTGCGTTCTTGGGCTTTTGTCACATGAAGTCCGAGCTCGTAGTGAACAATATTCTAGCGTATCACCAAAGTTCAAACGAATTATTGTGTTGTGCGAGAGCGTTCGCACATACGGCGGGAGTCCCAGAATTTTGAATTGTGATTCGACGGCGTCAGGGCCGAGTGTGTCGTTTGACGACCCTTGCTGTTGCTGTATGATATTTGCCTCCTCTCCAGAAACGGATGGGGATCTCCCACTGCAAGAATCAGGGGAAGTCTGGCGTATGGGCAATTCTTTCAACGGTGCACGCTCACAATACGAGCTTTGTAATATTGCCCCAAGCACACCAGTATATCTCTGACCTTCTTGTCTTTGACCGCTCACAATACCGTCTCCACGACTTCGTTCCATGCCCTCGCTGTCCTCACCGGGACACGAGAGAAGAAACCCCACCCTCCTCGCTGGAAGCACACGAACAACGCGTTCTCCCATCCTCCTTATTATTCGTCACTTGGACCCATTCGCTGTTGTACATGTATTCAACACTCAAGCTGGAGGCACACCAACGGATTTGTCTGGCGTGTGCGTTGATCCTAGCAGTCTGGCGTGACAGGCTCGTTTTGCGTTTCATGTTACACATTCTATTCCTATTAGGAAATATGTAGCAGAGGGTAGGCCTTGTATTGGAACTAGACACGTGTAACATCTCAGGGGTGACAACACGTTGGGCAGGTTATCGCCCATGCAGGCTAGAGTAGGTGGAGGCAGCTGTCTATTACGATTCCAACACGGGGACCAACGGTGCTGGTGCTGGTATGCTGATGTGCTGCTCCTGATAAGTCATTCTGCATACCAGTCTCCAATGAGTTTAACAGAGTTGCCTGACGATGGAGCGCTCCCCGTCAACTTCACTTCACGTCAACACGAATGTCCGCGGACACAACAGGTGAAGCGACCGCAACAGCCTCAGCAAAAGCCACAGCAGCAGCGCGAACCGGCAGCCGCCACCGCCACCGCCACCGCCGCTTCTGCCACTGCCCGTGGTCCAAGCCAAACTTCTGCTGCGCCCGGTGCAGGCCAAACCCCCGGTGCCGGTGAGGGCAAGACAACACCGGGCCTGGCGCTCGAGAACCAGCAGGAGACGGGCCCATCTCGCAGCGCCGGGGGACGCCCCGCCGGCCCTGCGAAATCCTCCGCCACCGATGGGCAACGCCCGCAAATGACGGATCTGTCCGCTTACCAAGCCCCCACTGGTCAAGGCCCGAAAGAGACTCGAGTTAGTGCCACCACAAGATCGCACATGTCCCCCTACCATGGGCCCGCCACCACTCAGGCACGTGGCGGCCGGGGCGGCGGCGGCGGCGGGGCGTACCGGAACGACCTACCGGCGTACCAGCCGCCGTCCTCTGCCACGTCCTCAGCGAGCAGTGCCGCAGCGCGAGCGGGTGGTGGTCAAAGGACTGACCTGTCGGCGTACCAACCTCCGAGTACGGCTTCCGGTGCCTCTGGCAGTGGTGGAAGACGTTCGGGGGGGCCTCGGACAGACCTTTCCGCGTACCAGTCCTCCCCGGCCGGGGGTTCTCCGGGTCAAGGAGGGAGGCGGACAGGAGCGGCCAGGACTGGTGTTGGCTCACCGTACCAACCGTCGAGCGGTGCCAATCAGTCGTCGCCTGCCCTGACCGGCACTGCAGGGCCGCAGGGAAGGTCGAGCCATGCCACTGGGGCGGGAAACAATGGCGCTGGGAAAGTACCCGGGTCCCGTCACGGCGCTCACGAGACGCGATCTGCCGGCAGCACGGGCGGTGTAGGCAATGGAGGCGCCACGTCGGCCGTGCCTCGTGGTGGCAGATCCGGAACTCTGGCGTCTGGTGTCCCTCCCAAGATGAAGGAAGGGCAAAATGGAAGCGCAGCTGGAATGAAGACTGCAGATGTTTTGGGGTCGAAGGCGGCCAGCGGAGCCCTGAGCGGCGGGCCGGGCCAGCAACAGCCTCAGTGGAAGCAGCAATCTCACGCTCAGCCAGCAGGAGGCGCAAAGCCGCGCGCTGGGACTCAACACTACCAGCAGCCAAAGACGGCAGCGGTGCAGGCGACGGCCGGGGGAACGAAGTCGAGCGCGGTAGAGGCAAAGAAAGTGGGAGGTGCTCCTAGTCAACAGCGACCTAGGCAACAGCAACAACCACAGCAGTATCAAACGCAACAAGGGCAAGAGCAGCACCAGTACCAACAGTATCACTACACGTACCAAACACCGGCGGCAGCGAGCGGCGGCAGCGTGTATGTCTCATACAACCAGCACCAGCAGCAGCCTGCTGCCGCCAGTGCGCCTGCTGCGGCCGGAGCGCCTGCTGCATCAAAAGGGGTGGCACTATCATCCTCGTACGGCAAGACAGACACACACGTCACCTCCACTGCTCGTCCCGAAGCTACTGCTTCTGCGGCCGCTGGATCGACGTCATCATCCACTGGCAGGGTGGAGTACACCAGTGGTGGCGGGAGCCAGGCTTGGAGCTCCGCCGGCAAAACCGACGCCGAATCCGCAGCACCGGCAGCACAAGTATCGGTAACAGCAGCACCAGCCACAGGTGCCGCAGCAGCATCACCAGCCACAGGTGCCCAAGCAGCACCAGCAGGAGTAGTGTCCGCCATTGCCGCTGGTTCGAGCGCTATTTACGCGAGCGGAAGTGAATGGCCACCCCAGCAGCAGCACCAGCAACAACAACAGGTTGTGCTGCAGTCGGCCGGCGCTGCGGGGCAACAGCAGCAAGGGTATGCTTATTCGTACCAGCAACAGCCTACGTATGCTACGCTGGGAGTGTCGACGACGGGGCAGCAACTGCAGGGTTCCTCCCAGCAGTATGGCATTCCACAGGCGGTGGTGGCATCACCGGCGGCAACCGGGGTTCAGGGAATTGCGCAAGCGCCGGGGGAGACGGCGGTTGTTCAGCCCCCGCTGCCGGCGACGGGTCTTGTTCAGAGCTCGAGCGCGACAGGCGTGCAGTACTCGGTGGTGGCGACCCCGCAAAGCATGACAGCCATCCAGCCGCAGCAACAGCAGAGCGTGCAGGTGTGTGTTGAGAAAAATAGGCTGACTCTTCCAACTGAACGTCGGATATCCAAATCGCGAAACTGCACTTTTCTCCCAACGATTGAGACCCTAATACATATCTACTCTCCACCTGCTCCCTAACAACACGTCTCTGTCTACGGTATTTCTAATTATGCAAAGCTGATTTTACGCGACGGGCCCGTAATTGATGCCCTTATGTGCATTTTGTTTTCAACATTTTCCCTAATGTTGGTAACGTGTGACGCAAGCCACTCACCTTGCCCCCCTTGGGAGTTCCAATTGGGAGAGCTGAGATTTCCGTTGGGGGGCGACTTGGTTGAGGAAACGTCGTAGTTCAAGAAAGTTGATTTTGCTGCGACCTCGTGTCCAACGCATCACCCCACGTGCTTTCAAGAGAAGCTCGGGATTGAGTTGGAGGTGCTAATATCGTTATTTCCCCCACCGTCGCGCTGCCGGCGGAAACGGGCACGGGATATCACACCCACACCACCACCGTGTGCACCTATGTTTTGCCAGCTATCACGTTTATCGAAATCACAATTTCTCTGGACTGGTAGTTAACACTTTCCAGAAGAAGCAGTTAAGTTGTGTACGAGGGACTGAGCGGGAGCCCCTCGATCTAGTCATCAGGACTGACGTGTCTCTTGTTCTTCGTCAATGCTGCCGTTCACCGACATTCATGGGGATAGAACCAAATATTGCAGCTGCCTTTTCACTGAGGAAAATCAAGGCACCCTCGGTGTCGACCTTACATCTGACACCTGTTTGGCGTAGCGCAAGGTTCGCAAGGTCGTTCGTTTGCATTCTTCCCTGCAGTTTTTTTCAGGAATGGAGGCAACATTGTTTCGTGTCGATCCTTCTTTCGGCACGACAACAGATAGTTTCTATTTCAAAGATGAAATGAGCCTTACCCCCTAAATTCTGGCCATTACTCCGCTTGAAAGATGCGCGTACTCTAGTGTACCTTGCACTTTCGTTACACTAGTCGAACGCACGAGAGTGCTCTCCAGACGGGGTCCACCAGTTGACCATCTCGTGCTTGTGTTGGAAAAGTACCTGCCCCGACGTTGCGGGCGTTGCCCATGTATCTACGTAACCGGTCAGGTATGTTGTAGCCGGATGAGCCATCTCCCCCCGCGCTTCGGTGATCATGGCTTTCCTTGAGGAGCAGAACGCATCGCCACAAAGTGTGAAACTGGCTTTTGGGATGTCAAGAACTTTTGGTCGTATCTCGAGCAACTTCATTCTTGGAGTTGAAACTAGAGAACTCTGTAGTTCTGTGTTGCGATACCACGAAGGCGAGAGCCGCGACGCAGGGTTCCTAGACGCTCGAATTTTTGTGTACTTCGAAGTGTCCTGTACCGTACGTGACCAAGATCTCCATCTCCCGCAACACTTCGTGTACCCCTCCTCGCCGTGCTCAATGCGCATTAGTTTTCGATGGCCCAGCAGCAGCAGCTGGTGCAGCAGCAGCAGCAGCAGCAGCAGCAGCAGCAGCAGCAGCAGCAGCAGCAGCAGCAGCAGCAGCAGCTGCAGCAGCAGCAGCAGCAGCAGCAGCAGCAGCAGCTGATGCAGCATCAGCATTTGCAGCAACAGCTGCCGACACCAACGCAGCAGTACCAGATATTCCCGCCGCTTCCCGCCGGTCCGCAGTCGGCGTCCCAGCAGACGGTATACACCCCGGCACCCGCACCACCCCCGGCGGACTACAACCCTGGGACCCAAGGACAGCAGCCAGGATGGGGTTGAGCTTGAGCGTAGGAGAGGAGTGCCTTGCCTACTTCCGGCAGGATAAATGGATGTTACTTGGCTTGTGTTGAACGACGGGCGTCTTGTGATGGTCGCTCGATGGAGGTCTGCGTGCGTGGATGTGGAGCTCAGCCATTGCCGCTCGGAGGAGACTTGCATGCGTGGGGGGAGAAATTGTCGGAGCAGCGGGAGCGCGTGCTTGGGTTCGCGGAAACTTTTCTTCGCACCAATAGTGTGCGTGGTTGTGTTTTGTCTTGATTTTATCAGCCTCGTCCGCGCTTGCCCGTTCAGCAATGAAGAAGGCCCACTTGCCAACAGCGGACACATGTGTGGGTGGAGATCTCGCTGTGTGTGGCGCTGACGCTACAAGGAACATATGTTTGCCTCTAAAAGCAGGAGATGGCGTTGGCGCTTGCAACGATCAACGCGACACGGCAAGGATCGGTTGTTGACAAACAGGATGGAAGGAGAGCTTCCCGACCAGCATGTCTGTTTGCAAACGCATGGATGCCTGGCGGATGTTGCGCTACAGCGCATGCGTCGTTGTAATTATTTCACGTTGCTTGGAGTCTTCTGTGTTCTGCCTTGGATGCGAATCCGGGGAGGGCGTTATTTTTCAAGGGAGCAAGGCGAGGGATCTCGAGGCTCGTGGCAGGCGAAGCGGAGGATGGCATGGATAGCCCGACAGGAGCGCGACAGCGATGTCAGCTGTGTTGGCGGTGGTACCCTCGGGCAAGGTTTAAGGTTTTGTGTTTGATGCAGATATCGACGTTGTTGCGTTCTATCTGTCCATACCGGTAGTCACGTACAGAATGGAATATCCGGTGCGAGTCCACCAGATGCTGCTGCTGCTGTTCGGAACAAATCGATGGGGGGGCAAGGTCCAAGCGAAAGCCCGCCCTTCCGGTTTTCGGATCGCAGTCAGTTCTGACCATCCATCGATTCCGGTAGTCGCGCACAGGACCAGACATCGGGAGTGAGCCACCTGCTGCTGCTGCGGAGTTTGTCCGACGGTGTTTGTCCGACGGGGCGGGGGCCGTGGATTGCTTGTTTGTTTCATCAGGGGATCCAATGATACCGAGATCCGAGGCAGTTCACGCGTCGGGTATCGGGTTAATCGTGTTTGACCATCAGTATTTCGGAGTGGAACTCAGTAGTTGAAGGGTGTTTTTTCTTCAAGTAGGTCCTGGTAGTTGACATGGGAATGGAGCAAGAGCTCTGAGGAAGATACTGCAGTTTACTGTCGTGTTTTTGTGGCGGTGTTGGAGTGTCGATGGACACATGAACAATATTTGTCTCGTAAAACGGCGATGCAGATGCCCACAAAGGAGTTTATCGTTATGCTCTATTCGGGCAGCTCTCTACCTTGCCGCGAAGCGATTCTGTTGCCTTGGATGGCAGGCACGGCGGAAAGTGAGTCAAACGGTGTTTGCCGCTTCGGGGCGGGTCGTTGTTCCTACGCGCGAGAGCGCTCGATTTGTGAACAAGGATAGGAACTTGCCCATCTGTTAAGTATTAGAGTAAATGTGCCGATTAAGGACCACTTGACGGAGCCCCCGCTCTGAGAGGTCGTTCTTGGGTGTCTTGACGATTTGTGGCGACAGAGAGGTATCGAACGTTAGCTTATAACACGACCTAAACGATGAAACAACAAAAAACAAAAAAATGCATGTGGTGATGACATGGTGCCAGCGTAGTATTCATTTGTCAGGGAAAACTACCGGTAAAACACAAATGCCCCGATTAAGGACCACTTCGAATTCGTATTGATTGCGCACGTTCTAATGATTTCCAGAACTTTTCCTTTGGCAAGTATCGTTATGGTAGTAATACAAAGCATTCCCGAAAAAATCTTAAGAAAAACATGCATGCCCGGGGAGAAAACAAGAAATCCCCGTGTTTTTTTGCCTGTTTTTGGGCCAAAAATGGCCTACTTTGAGGACTACGCAAAGAGATTTCAAGTGTTTTTTGCCCGTTTTTTCTTCGGCATCGTGGCAAGCNCCCGAAAAAATCTTAAGAAAAACATGCATGCCCGGGGAGAAAACAAGAAATCCCCGTGTTTTTTTGCCTGTTTTTGGGCCAAAAATGGCCTACTTTGAGGACTACGCAAAGAGATTTCAAGTGTTTTTTGCCCGTTTTTTCTTCGGCATCGTGGCAAGCACCCCTAGAATAGACACCATGCAATTTTTTGTTGTCATCCGGGTTGATTTAGTCTCTATCTGACATACAGACGATTTTTGCCCCCATTTGGACGAAAATCGAGGGGACAACATAGAAAAAAAAGGGAAAAAAAGCGGATGAAAAAATAAAGTGCACGACCCGAGGTTGGAACCTGCCTCTTACTGGGTCCGCGGAGATTAACAAAACACTAGACCACATGGCCGCCTGCGCATTCACGGAAAACTGTCATTATATAGGTCAATATCAATTAAAGTTTAGTAGACTACGGTTTTTCATACTGTACTGATACTAATCTCAGTACCGATTCTCGATACTGTACTAAACGTACTGTTGCGTTTAGTACGGCTCTCCATACTGCACTAAGCGTACTGCTGAGTTTAGTACAGGGTCTCTGTACCGTACTCAGGTGAGTACAGTATTCATCTCTCACATACTGGACTGGTACTAACCTTAGTACGGATTCTCGATACTGTACTAAACGTACTGTTGCGTTTAGTACGGCTCTCCATACTGCACTAAGCGTACTGCTGAGTTTAGTACAGGGTCTCTGTACCGTACTCAGGTGAGTACAGTATTCATCTCTCACATACTGGACTGGTACTAACCTTAGTACGGATTCTCGATACTGTACTAAACGTACTGTTGCGTTTAGTACGGCTCTCCATACTGCACTAAGCGTACTGCTGAGTTTAGTACAGGGTCTCTGTACCGTACTCAGGTGAGTACAGTATTCATCTCTCACATACTGGACTGGTACTAACCTTAGTACGGATTCTCGATACTGTACTAAGAATACTGCTGTACTGTACTAATGTGGGCACCACATGTCAGTATATAAGGCTTGGGGCACCTGTAGAAAGGGTGTTTGCCCGACACGAGATAAGGTGCCCCAAGCCTTATATACTGACATGTGGTGCCCCCATACCCCCCCGGATACGAGCGAGCGGACAGCTCAGCATCGTAGACACATACGCGGGTAACACGACGCACCCCCCGTAGTATGTACGGTAACCGGAACCCGACCGGCTGGCGGCGGACAACAAACCCAGTTTCACGTGCCCGGATTCGAACCCGGGTCTTTGACATTGCAGGGATGACANCCATACCCCCCCGGATACGAGCGAGCGGACAGCTCAGCATCGTAGACACATACGCGGGTAACACGACGCACCCCCCGTAGTATGTACGGTAACCGGAACCCGACCGGCTGGCGGCGGACAACAAACCCAGTTTCACGTGCCCGGATTCGAACCCGGGTCTTTGACATTGCAGGGATGACATCCTGCCGCTGACGCCACTGTAAAAAGGGTGTGTGCCCGACACGAGATAAGGTCCCCCAAGCCTTAAATACTGACATGTGGTGCCCACACTAAACCGAATATTTATTATGACCTGGCTTAGCCGGAGCCACCATACAGCACCAAAAAAAAAGAAGCATACATCACCTGGCGCAGAATGCTGTGTAGAACGAAGTCCTCCACCAAATTGAGTAAACTTAGGCTTAAATGAAAGGTGATGTCCATAGCAACACGAAGAAAAAAACAGAAAGGCTTTCCGCGATGGTATCGGCAAGATATGTTTTTTTGAAAAAAGTGGTTCCTAATAGGGGGGTGGTCCTTAAGACCCACACTCACTCTAGGCAACACTAACCAGTGTATGTTATTGATCACTCCGTATAGCGTAGAAGAGACTTGTCACGCCATACATCGTTTTCGAGATGGCGTGTTCGCCGGCAGTCATGTTGTGGAGTAGTTGTTGCCGACCTCCGTGGGTTCGCGGATCTTGTGTTCTACGCACCTACACAACTATTTTTTCTCGGCGTTGAATAACAGCGTTCTGGACCCAGGAGGTACTGCACCGAAAATCTCTTGTGTATGTCGTTACCGTTCGGTGTGTCCAGCTTTATCGCATCTACCCGCTAGATCATGTCTTTCCGTCAAATCTTCGACGTGCCATGCGTCACTGCTCATCACGCAATGTTCTTCGTGTGCAGCCCATCGTATGTTGTTGCACAAGGTATGCATCTAGACTAACGGAGCGTGGTGACGACCAACGGTGTTAAACGGAGGCTATGAAGCACGTTGACTCGATTCGGCCATCACTGCTCAACGTTCGCTGCTAGTTGTCGCGACCACCCTGGAGTGTGCGTTGCCTTCGACCGCATGCATGCCCGGTCTACATGTACGCATAATAGTCTGTAGTAGGTGGCAGACATCAATGGTGAGAAATAGCGGTAGAGACCGCTAGCTCGACGCAACCGACATCATGAATCCGCCTCCAATGTTCACTCCGGGAGAAGCATTCTTGTCACCTGAGAAGATAAACTTTTCGTGTCATCCGCCTACGCGCCTCCCCCCGGGAGAAGGGAGATCTTTAAAAACGTCTCCGTGAGTCACCGATAATACACAAAACATTCGGTGAGCGATTCTGACCTTCGGACATTCACTTCGACAAAACATACCTCAGTACTTCCGCGTTACCCGCAACGAAGAGGTTGCGTGTAGTCACATGTAGGCACGATCAAGACTGTTTGCAGGCGTGCACTCACTGATTGCAGCTTTTTGCTGTGGAGTATTCTTCAGACAACTACAGGCTACTCCCGAAAGATATCCGGAGTATTTATGAAACTTCCGAAGACCAGCCTGGGGGTTCGAGGGGTGATGTCCGCCATCTGTTCGGGGTCTCCACGCCCACATGACACTCACACACACGCAGACCATCAGCATCAGCAGCAACAAATTCCTCGCCTTCTATCCCGAGGATCTCTGGTACAAGTCCCCGCCTCGGCCAAAGTGCCTCAGCATCAAACCCGGCGATCTCTGTAAAATTATGCCCCCGGGAGATATTTGAGGCATGATGGAATAGCCACAAGACGGTAGCGGTACTGGGGCACAGTCTAGTATAGGAAGTGGGTGGAAAAGGCAAGAAGTGATATCGATAATATGCATTAGGGAAGACGTTTTTGAGCCACGTTTGGCAAAGTAGGAAGGAACGATTGGCCATCGGTGATCGGTCCTGTGGGAACAATCCTCCGTCCTCTCGAGGACACGCAGTCAATGGTCTTACCGCTAAGGCATGCTAACCACAATAGTACCCCACCCCCCCCTACGGAACCAGATTTTCGATTTTTGGGCTAACGGGTGTTGGATTTGTTTTCCTGCACGCACCCTACGTTATCCGGACACTGTTATTTCGGTCCTTGATGGTCCATTGAGCTCATGAATCTCCACAATGCGTTATTTTGTCTTGTCTTGTACTCGGGTCGCTATGGTGTGGGTCACCTCTGATAAACTAACGTTCCGCAAGCTGAAGAGATGAAAGTTTCCTAGACGTCTTCATGTGCAACGCTTCTCATGCACGACGGGTTCCAAGACATCGTGTTAGCGGTTATTCAATCACGGTTACATGGAGTTGCACCCTTCGGGAATTTGGCGTTGTCCCCATGGTTGGTTGAGAGCTCTGTGTATTTGCAGGGCCCCTTGTCTTGAGCTCGCGCGACCCCCCGAGCTCACTCCTTGTCTGAACTCCTCGGTTGTCCTTGTTTAAACTCCTTGTTCGAACATTCCAGTGCTTAGCCATAGTCAAAGCCAAACCGTATCCATGACCGAGGAGTGCTTCGAGGCTCACACCACCGCTGTCCAAGCACGTCCACCGAACTCGGCACCGATCGAGAGGCTGTTGTCGAAGAGGTATCGGTTATCACTGCATGCGGATACGGTGTTCTCTCTCCCTTTGATTGCCCTCTTTGACCATTTCAGGGTCCTGGAGGAATGTCCTGAGACCACAGTTTCTACCCCTCAACTAGTCACGTGGTTCACCCCAAACCGTATCCTCTCTTATCCGTAATACGGTGTCCAGTCCGAGAATCGAACTCGGGTGTCCAAAGGACGTGCAACGCTTTTTCTTGAAGCTCGTTTGACTAGACTAACCACGAAAATCAAGGTCAGTCATGGAGAGTTCTTGTCATCCGTAGACCAACGGAGGTATGCGGAGTGGGTCAAAGCGACTGCGACGCATACTGTAGTGCCCGAATGTCGAGTTCGCGCTCTAGCACTCTGTCGATCAAATGGTCAACGAATTATTTTGTTGCGGAGGATATATTTTAGACACAAACCTGAAAGCTGTGGAGATCACGTGCATAAACATGCGTCGAGGACGATTCCATCTTTTCACAAAACCGCCCTTCCTTATCCCCCGCTCGGACTCGGCACATCGCGCGGGCTCGAGGGAGGTGCCGTTTACATACACCTGCAGGATGTATATTCGTTGCCCGAGACCAGGACACGCGGGTATTGATATTTAGTGCTCCGCCTCTCCGTGGGTTGAGATGGCCTCCGGTGGACTGTGTAATTGAA